AAATTTACTACTACCTCCTGACCTCGCAGGGTTTGTTGATTTAGCGTGTTCCGTTGTTTTTGTTATCATTGATGTCGTTGTCGTTGTTGTTGTTGTTGTTGTTGTTGTTGTTGTTGTTTTTGTTGTTGTTGTAGTTGTTATTTTCGTTGTTTTTGTTGTTGTTGTTTCTGTTGTTGTTGCTGTTGTTGTTGTTGTTGCTGTTGCCATCTAGAAATTCTGAAGCCAAAAGAGAAGCCATTACGCTTCGCGCCTGCGTGATTGGAAATGAAAATTTTAAACGCTCTAAATAGGTAACTGCAGAATCCATAACTCATCTTATGCCTTATTTCTTCCGCTTCGCTTGATTAAGAAACATTCTTCTCTGCAAGTGCATTGGTCATCGTTAGACATTCGCGGACAAATAATAATTCTTTTTATTATCGTTATTGTTGTCGAATACGCTGTTGAGTTATTTTCATTATTTACTATTACTATTGTTTGTTTATTATCTTGCTATTGTCTTTCCAATCACTGTTTCCAACTCGAGCAAAAGATGGGTTTATGACAATCAACAAATTATTCCAGAACGGGTCACTTCACTTTGTGTATGGAGAGTAGGCAGAGTCGCTTATCGATAGAGTAAATGAAATGCAAATCGAAGCAACTATGTTTTTCTTTGTAACTTGGCATCATCATAATCACCCAGTGCCAGATCTGTGGTAGACATCAGTGATTATGGTTCTCCATTCATTCCTTTGCTCAGATACTCTTAAAAAGCTACGTTTCCCTGAATGTTCCCCTTTACCCGTTTGTTTAGATTCCCAGGGTAGGTTGCTCTGGGTCTACAACTGCCTCGTTTGCCTTCAATTTTGCCCGTGAGAGCTAGATCTAGATGTTCAAGGTGTATCAAAAACCAAATAGGGACAAGGGACAAAAGAAAGAAGCAATAACGAAAACGCTTTGGGAAGTGGGGTGGGGAGAGGAGAGAATGAGTCGGCGTTCAGACGGTGTCCATATTGCAACCAATCAATTCCAAATGTGTAGCTATTGCTCAGAGACATACAGTTATAGCGGGATTGGCAACAGACAATCTAAAGTAGAATAACATCATAAAGGGTGAACTTACTATGGGAGCAGAAGAAAACACCAGTTAGCAGCATTAGCATATTGTCACACTTTTCAACTTCCAGAAACTGAAACGTCATAAGAATCATTCAGGGGAAGTATCTTACCAATTAACAACTAGGTCAGCTTTGTTAATTTTTTTTTCGAATCGTATTCCAAATGTATTGAATCAACATCTTGGGGAGTGACAGAGCTCAGAATGTAGCCTTGCAGTTTCAATTCAATGGGTGCACCCTTGCCATCACACATTTTGATTCCGACCTGTTCACGCTAATCTTTGCTGCGTTATGCAAATGATTGTATTCGCACAGAAAAAATCCACCGTGTTTTCAGGGTGACCCGAGGGGAAGAAAGAGTGAAACTCCTGCTTACATTCCGAGGTAATTGTCAAACAGTAACGCCTTGCTAGGAAGAAAATCGATTATTTCAAAGGTGGAAATTTTTGTCCACCCGTTGGGACTCCATGGGGCAAAGACATAATCCAGACGCAAAGAGTAAATTAACTCGACATTCCAGAGGGATGATCCTGTTCTTACCCTACTGCCCAAAACTGGCCAAGTGACAGAGCGTAGTCTATTTTTAAAAAAGATTGTTACAGCGCTCGCAACTGCATACGTTCATGTCAGCCCCAAGGGGTGGATGTCAACAGGAAAGTCCGAACGGGAATCAGGCTTATTCTGTTCACCTCTCTAGTCTCAACAGCTCAAAGTCTGTTTCGACTTTCAAAGAACCCTGGAAATAGCAGTTCACAAGACAATGACACACATACAAAAGAAGTAGAGGAAAAATGACTGTGGTAAGGACGAGGAAGGAAAAAGCAGCAGTTCTCCCTATGTTGTTCCGGCAGAGTATGAGCATGACATTGATAAATCAGCCCATTTACAAATCTACTGTGGTTAAAAACATTTTAACCCCCACTCCCTTTGGGAATGGCCAAAAGACAGCTTCAGTCAGTAACACTGTCGGGGGGGGGGGGGGGGGAGCAGGGGGTTAGCTTGGTCTATCCACCGCGAGTCTATCGCCACCAACGAAGAAAGTCTCACAGATTGTGTGTTACTTTGACTCGCTGACTTGAACAAAAAATGTTCGAGTTTCGATTTCGAGGCTCGGGAAATGATTTACCGAGTAACCTCATCTTTTATTGTGCTATACCCTCACGCGACCCTGTCCACTCCTGACTGGCGCGTGTCGAATTAACCCGATTAAAAAAGGATCATGTCTATGTTGATAAATGCTTTGGACTTTTTAAGATTGTCTCGAGAAGAGGGACGGAAATGACACAGAGATCACCCGCTGTCTATCATATTTAGTTTTTCTTTCTTTATAATATCTGTTGACGATTTTGTTGTATACTCACTGGACAAATGATTATGAATATATACGCACTTACAGCACTATTAGTGTAAGCCAAACAGTACAAAAAGGACTGTGCATTACCTGAATTCTTCTCTTCATTCCAAGAACAGCGTTTGACAGAGAAAGATAGAAAGAGAGAAGGTGAAGGAGAGACAGAGAAAGAGAGTGACACACACACAGACACACACACACACACACACACACACAGAGAGGGAGAGAGAGAGAGAGAGAGAGAGCGAGAGAGAGCGAGAGAGAGACAGACAGACGCAGAACAGACAGACAGAGAGAGAGAGAAATAAAGAGAAAGAGAAAGAGAGAGAGAGAAAGAGTGGGAGAGAGAAAGAAAGGGAGAGAGAGAGAGAGAAAAGAGATAGATAGATAGATAGATAGATAGATAGATAGATAGAGAGAGAGAGAGAGAGAGAGAGAGAGAGAGAGAGAGAGAGAGAGAGAGAGAGAGAGAGGGCGCAGACATTAAGAGGTTTGAGCGTGCAATGGACTGACTTGGAGGGATGTTGTGATCTCAGGGAATGTCTTTTGTTGAGTTTGTTTTCAATTCAAATTTCCATAATTATAATACTACTCTTTGTTACTGATACGAGGGTCGTGCCTTTTGTGAAAAAAGTCAATAGGGGATACCTGCCCAGTGCTATTCCTAGATCTGCTCTTGTATTAACCAGAAATGTAATTATGCTTTGCGTTGTAATTTCACCAACAACAGGTTAATGTCCCAAGAACAACGGAAGTCTTTGCGACTAAATTAAAAATGATGACCAAAGGCAGGGCAAAGGAACAGGTGTACACGTGATTTCTTTGTAAACTCGCAGTTCGCTCAGTCGTCAGCTATTTAAAGAGTGCTTTTTACTCAGATTAATTTCCTCTGAGACAAGCGCTCTGATCGCAGAGGTATACTTACATACGCAGTATCTTTACAGTCGGCATTCTAAACATAGATGCGCGTTCAGTGTTATTGTTATAAAGTAGTCACAATACATCTCGTTCATCATTTCATTTTGTCTTTTCTTTGTCTGTATACCGATGACAACAAAACATGGCAAAGAGTTTACATATTTCCAGAGAGAGAAAACGACAAGAATACTTTGGGGATTGTATTCGCTCCATTGTGGCAACCGTACGATATTTTTCCTGGCAAAATATATAGAACAAAAGATCGCGTATAACAAAATAGTTAAATCCTCTCTTTGAGCAATTAAAAAAAGGTGACCTCAAAATTCGGTGGCGCCCTCAAAAGCGTGGACTTTGCGAACAGAGTTACCCTACTTGTGTGAAATAAATCAAAGTGAAACTGACAAACTGTGCTATTCCTATTCTTCGTCTGGAGTAACGAAAGAGAGCTTCAAAACAAAGACTGCACCACCATCTGAAGCAATGCATGGACTTCCGTGGACACTTTTTTGGCCGAGTGAACTATCTTGTTATGTGCCATCTTTAATAGAACTGAGGTGGCAAACGTGTTGTTTCGCTTGCAGAGGACATTCGCAAAGGGATTTTTTGAACTGATCGTGTAAAGCCTATTTAAAGCGCATTCTTTCCGGACTATGTATTTTATCCCACATTCATTACACACGTTTTAGTACAAATTTTACGGCACTTGCAACAAAGGGTCATAATATAAGAGCTGCCAAGGGTGAGAGGTGTTACAGGGGAGTAACAAACTCACCAAAGAAGGTGGAGAGATAAAGGCGGTAGAAGTTTGATAGGAAAGAAGGAGCAAACCAGATCAGAACATCCGCCAACCATGCACGTTACAGGCTGGCCAAGGATCAAAATGTTGTTGATATGAAAACTATGAGCTTGGTTAGAAATGAAAATACATGTAATTATCATTTGTGATGTGTGTATGTGTGTGTGTGTGTGTGTAGGGCGAAACCCGCCCATTACTTATTCTTTGTTGCTAAACAAAATCTAAATAGATAGATAGATAGATAGATAGATAGATAGATAGATAGATAGATAGATAGATAGATAGATGATAGATAGATAGATAGATAGATAGATAGATAGATAGATAGATAGATAGATGATAGATAGATAGATAGATAGATAGATAGATAGATAGATAGATAGATAGATAGATAGATAGATAGATAGATAGATAGATAGATAGATAGACACACAAACGGATTGAGAAAGAGAAAGAGAGAGAGAGAGAGAGAGAGAGAGAGAGAGAGAGAGAGAGAGAGAGAGAGAGAGAGAGAGAGAGAAACCTATGTGGTCGTTATACTTACCCCAGGGAACGAGAGAGTACTAAATCTCTTTGTTGGTCTTTTTCATGGTTTGTCTTGCATCACACCCTGTTCAGATATCTTATACTACTGTTGACCATGTATCTCAGTATCTTTTATTACTTTCATCCTTGTTCTCTCTGCCTTTCATTCTCTCTGTCTCTCTTTTTATCTATCGCCTACCCTCCCAGTCTCCCGGCCTCTACGTTCGTCTTACTTTTCTTCGAAATGTTCACCCTTACTGCATAATCAGAGTTATGACAATATTATTCTCTATTCATTGTACCCTTACAGAAAAAGTAACATCGTCCAGTTATTAATGAACCATTGGAAGTACTAATCAACACGAGTTGTACAGTAAATCTCCCCCAAAATGGAGGACATTTTTACAGCAAACACAACGCAGGACTATGACCTCGTCAGCACTACACCATCCGCAAACACGACCATGGAGATTGTCTTCAATTTCTACCAGGTAATTGATCCATTCTGTGTGCTGCATACGAAGACTTGCTGTGGGAACTGTGTTGTGGGAAAGGCGTGTTTGTCTGTGCATTTGTGGGTATGAGTAGTATGTGTGTTAGTGTATACAAATGTAATATAATGTATGTCTATCTATCTATTTATCATATTAGACCATAATATTACATGTTTATTATATAATGTGTTTGTGTATATATGTCTGTGAATGTGTGTTAGTGCGTGTGTGTATGTGTTGTATGTATAATATTTATCTATCTATCTATCTATGAAATATCTGTGTCATTGAGAAAGAGAGAAAGAGAGAGAGAAAGAGATAGAGACAGAGAGGGAGAAGGAAGGGGAAAAGAGAGAGAGAGAAGAGAGAGAGAGAGAGAGAGAGAGAGAGAGAGAGAGAGAGAAAGAGAGAGAGAGATAGGGAAAACAGACATACAGACTGACAGACAGACAGACAGAGAGAGAGAGAAAGAGAGAGAGAGAGAGAGAGAGAGAGAGAGAGAGAGAGATAGAAAGAGAGGGAGAGTAGATCTAGGGGTTTGTAGAAAAGGGGGTGAAGAGACAACTGGTGTCGAAAGAAGAGAATAATATGGGAAGAACTTGTGTCCATATTTACTTTGTCTGAGAGGGTTTTAGTGTCGACATACCCCAGATGTATACTCATAAAATAGCCTTACAATTTCGAAATGCTTGCAAACACAACAGGTTACTGAACTTCCACTGCGAACCCTGAAATAACGGAAGAGAAGGGTTATAAAGGGGGAAAGCCTTTCTGTTTGTCTTGACGCGCTAGTGGATACAAACAGTTTAGACAGTACTTCTGGATCTCATGGCCTGTTAGCTGGACCCATAGAATTACCTCCTTTTAAACTAGAGTCCGTACGAGGTTACGTGGCACGAACACATTTGAGTTTGTTGGCGGCCATTTTTAATGTGGCTAAAAAGTTTGTTTACATGTGAGTGGGCGTGTCTCTGCTCTTAATCTTACGTGTTTTTTTTTAAATTCTAACGTTATGTTTTGATTCAAAGCGATTCTCTTAAAGGTGCAAGCATGTGAAACCTCTTGTCCCTTTCTGGATTAACGTCTTACTGGTTCTGTCAGGCAGTTCAGTGATGTCTGTTTTCTTTTATTACATCATCTATTTTTAGTGCATAATATTTCTTATAGACACAAATAGTCACTCCGGGTTTCTTTTTTAAAACATAAAGAGCCATCAGTAAGGTTCTGGGCCATGTGAAGTTAAGGTTGACTAGCAGCTAGATCTTTGTCACAATGGGAAGGAAATTTCTTTATCAAACAGAAACAGTGTACTTTTTATTGTTTTGTTTTATTGAATGTTGTCCAAAAACACCCTAGTAAAGGTATTTGTTTTAGTTATCACTACACTGAGTAGAAAAACAATTGACTAGGCTACAAAACAACGTTTAAGTTCACTTTTTAAAAATCTTTAGTGAGTCCAGAGTTGTCACAGTTGCTTTACTAGTGTCCAAAATTAGACTTATTTAAAACAGCAATAGAAGGAGCTTTAGTTTAAGTTTAGTTCTTAAAATCAATATAAACCAAAGTTTAATACCGACATAAGAAAACACTACTTATAATTTAGTATACTTTTTAAAAAAGTGAACATATGAATGAAAAATACAGTTCCCTGTTCAAATGTCACATGGGAAAGTTTAACTCGATTTTAAAAATACCAGTACATGTATTCATTATTTGTTTGACTGAATTTGCTTTATCAAAAGCTTCATTGCATTCCTACACCTAAAGGCTGAAAAACTCTGGAATTTTTTTCTCCTATGGCTCATCCTCATTTAATTTAATGCCAAACTCATATATCTGAGGGGGGCGGGGGGGGGGGGGGTGTTGGTATTGTGATTCGGGAGGAGAGAGAGGGTGGGGTGGTTATAGGAGGTTCCCATGACACCCACATCTTTTCATACTTCTTTTTAAAAGTTCTATAGGCCCTATACGCTTTGATTCGGTCAATAAGAAATAAACCACCTCGTAGACAAAGTGCTGATGAACAAATAAAGGTAGGTTTTTTTTTCTTCTTTTCTTTAAAAGCCCATATCTCTATCTCTATCTATTTAATAATACATTTAATTGTAGATCTAGTTGTAGAAAGAACGCCGTATTATTGCAATTTAGTAATTTAGATATAGTACGCCACGGCGCCCATGTAAAAAAAAAAATCAACAAGAACCAAGCCTCGCCTATCGCGTATGAGAGAGAGAGAGAGAAAACATGCCTAGCCCATTGCTTTAGCTTGAACTCCTTCACACAGCTTGCCACAAAAAACATGGCGGACGCCGCTGTCAAATGTGGCCATCGCGCAGCAAGGCGAGAGAGGGGCGTACGGTATCTAGTAGTATAGTGTACATCTATGGCTGGACCAGACATTTTGCCCACCTCCCCCCTAAAAAGGAAAATGAACACAAAAACTCATTTTAAAAGACGAAACAAAAATAATTTTAAAAAGCAAACAACTAAATAAACAGGCTGAAAATGTGAGGACATACACAGAGCACTGTGGTGAGAAATACCGAAGTCCCACCCCCCTGCCTCACACACAACACGCGCGCACACACACACACACACACACACACACACACACACACACACACACACACACACACACACAAAAACACACTCACGCACGCTCACATACACACAGACTCATACACACACATACAAATACCCACACACATGCACACACGCATGCACGCGTGCGCGCACAAACACACACACACACACACACACACACACACACACACACACACACACACACACACACACACACACAGACAAGCACACTTAAAAACGCAAGCACACACATAGACTCACACACATACACACATACGTTCGCTCCTGAGGTCTATTCCTAATCGGAGATATTGTGGCATGCGAAGGTCACGTGTCCAAACAACAACAACAACAACAACAACAACAACAACAACAACAACAACAACAACAACAACAAGAAAGACCAAGGTTGGGGGTATAGTGGGTATGTATGATGTATGTGTATGGGGTGTAGGGGAGGGGTGGTATGCGTATGCCCCATCTTTTGAGGGATCAAGAAGTACAAGCTGCTCCTCCCTTCTTTATCAAGCCTTTTTATTTCGGCTTCCTGTCATTTGGGGGGGGGGGGGGGAGGCGGTGAAATTGTTGTTAAGCTGAGAAAAATAACACAACTGGGGCGACCCAAACGCTGATCATCGATGATGTCCTTGCTTGTTTCGGGATGGGCATGCGGATAGACTTTTGACGAAATTGAGCTGTTTGTCTTTTAAAAGTTTTAGCAAGAGTTTTACGGCACATACAACACAATAAGATCATTTAAGTGCTGAAGATTAGAGGTGATACAAGAGAGTAACAAACTCAAAAAGGAAGGAGGAGAGATAAGGATGATAGATGTTTGATGGGAAAGAAGGAGAAAACCACTCCAGAGCACTCGCCAATTATCCACTTTCGTCTTTCAAAAGTTAGATCTTTTACACCCCAATCGACACATGGTAGATCATTTAGCAGACGGGCTTCGACCCTGCCATACCAATCACAGTCCACCCTGGCTAAGAGGGATACAACTTCACATTTGAAAGACCGAGTTACTCAAAAAAAATAATTCTTCTCACACGAGAATCGAACCCACTAATACCAATAATCAAATTTTCATATCTGCTGATGTCACCTTATGTCTACGGATAAGTTTGGATTTGGTTTTGTAGCGAAAAGTGGTTGGTTGGCTGTTGCTCTTGCGTAGTTTGCTCCTTCTTTCCTATCAAACATCTATCGTCCTTCTCTCCTCCTCCTTTTACGTGTTTTTTTACTCTCTTGTAACAATTCTAATCTTCGGCACTTATTTTACTGTATTGTTTTGTAAGTGCCGTAAAACTCTTACTAAAAACTAAACAAACAGCGATGTGTTAGCGGCGTGCATGGTAAAGCTAGTAGACGGTTCATTGTATCAAGTTCGATTCTCAAAAATGTTAACTTAAACTCACGACTTTTCAAATGATGAATCCTAGAAGCTACAATTGGTTTAATGTATCTTGGTTTTTCTGCCTGGATGTTGTATCCCTCTACCTCCTGGTTGGTTCTGACAGGCAGGGTCGGAAGCCCGCCTCCTACATGATGTAAATTGTATCGATGGGGGGGGGGGGGGCACAGAAATATCTACACTGTTGTTGTTGTTGTTGTTGTTGTTGTGTGTGTGGTAGCCTATCCGTTCGAAATGTTTTGGAGCGTCCAAGAGTGGTCTTCGCCAGGGCCACCGCCTCTCTTGGGTACCTCCCTGAATCCTCCCCAAAGAGATGCCACCGCCTGAACTCCGTTACCAGGCATCTCTGCTGCCAGTGCTCCAAATCTTGGGACTCCTCGCTGCACAATGGACAGATTGGGCCGAAGTTTAATCTATTCTATTTTTATAGGCCGGCACCCAGAGGAGTGACCGGTTCTGATTTTTGCCAGTAGTGACTGGTCAGTGCGGGACTTAATTTGAGCTATCCAGCAGTCGAAATTAAAACCAAACAAGAAGACACCTAGATTCGAGGGATACTCATCGATCAGGGTGGATAGGCGAAACCAGGACGGAGGTGGAGGTCTCATCTCTTACAGCAAGAATCTGAGACATCATGGGAAGAGGAAATGGGCCACAATGTTGTTGTTGTTGTTGTTGTTGTTGTTGTCGTTGTTGTTATCGACCCAGTAAGAGCTGGACTCTCGCCCTTCTATCCTATGCCATGTAGTGCAGGTTTTCAGCAGTTAATGTAAGTTCCAAAGGGTGTGTTGTCAATATTACGTCTCTTAGGGAGAAATGTAAAGCTCTGATATATTGTAGGGCTGTAAAGTGGAAAAGGTGATGATCCACAGTCTCATAATAATAAAATGCATAGTCATACAAAGGACGCATTGAGGAAACTATCTACATTAAAACATAATAGTAGTAAAGCGAAGTGTGCACACGAAGTAAGTTTCAGTCGAGCACGCTTGGTTAA